TTAAAAATCAAACAATACCAAAACTAAACAACTATTTAGAAAATAATAAAAAAATATTGGATGAATCAAACAACAACTTTAAACAAATTCAAGATAACCATACAAAGAATTTTGATAAAACTTATAATATATTTAAGGAATTAAATAATATTATCAATGCAAAAGAAAATGATGTCAAAAGATTATTAATCACAAAATTAGACGAAAACACAGAAGTAAATATAATAACAACAACAATGGAAAACAATAATAATATTATTAATAATGCCATAAAATTTAATATTGATATTAGTTATAATAATGATGTTAATAATAATATTGATAATGAATTTATTATACTTTTAAAACACAATCATCAATGTAACAATCTTTTATCAAATATAAGTAATAATAACTTACCAGAATATAAAGATATTCAATTAATAATTCAAGAAAATAATCTCGACTCAATCAAAGATCTAACAAACAGTTATTTAGAAGTAAAGGATATAAATATAGATACTAAATTAATATTTCAAGAAAATAATCCCGACTCAATCAAAGATCTAACAGACAGTTGTTTAGAAGTAGTTGATGATATTCCTTTAGATTTAAAAACACTAAAATGTAAGTTTTATATTTTTTTATTTTAAACTAATAATACTTATATTAATTCCTTTTAATAAAGTTTATAAATTTGAATTTACAATTTACGAAGAAGGGTATTATATTGGTCATTTAAAAATTAGAAGTCTTGCTATTGGACCTATCGAATGTTTACCCAAAACTATTCCAGCAACAGTTACAAATTTATATTTACAAGATGGCTTTAATCAACCACTTAATTTTATACCACCCACCGTACAATGCTTGTGTTTAGAAAACATCAAGTATCAATTAACACTTGATTCAATTCCAGCAACAGTTAAACATTTATATTTATTTGATGGCTTTAATCAACCACTTAATTTTATACCACCCACCGTAGAATGCTTGTATTTATATAACATCAAGTATCAATTAACACAAGATTCAATTCCAGCAACAGTTACACATTTATTTTTACAAGATGGCTTTAATCAACCACTTAATTTTATACCACCCACCGTACAAAGGTTGTATTTAGATAACATCAAGTATCAATTAACACCTGATTCAATTCCAGCAACAGTTACAGATTTATTATTACTTAATGACTTTAATCAATCACTTGATTTTATACCACCCACCGTACAATGCTTGTGTTTAGAAAACATCAAGTATCAATTAACACAAGATTCAATTCCAGCAACAGTTACACATTTATATTTACTTAATGGCTTTAATCAACCACTTAATTTTATACTACCCACAGTAAAATTCTTGTATTTACATGACATCAAGTATCAATTAACACCTGATTCAATTCCAGCAACAGTTATACATTTATATTTACTTGATGATTTTAATCAACCACTTAATTTTATACCACCCACCGTACAATTCTTGTATTTACAAAACATCAAGTATCAAATAACACCTGATTCAATTCCAGCAACAGCAAAAGTTACAGATTTATATTTACTTGATGATTTTAATCAACCATTTAATTTTATACCACCCACCGTACAATTCTTGTGTTTAGATAACATCAAGTATCAATTAACACCTGATTCAATTCCAGCAACAGTTATACATTTATTTTTACAAGATGGCTTTAATCAACCACTTAATTTTATACCACCCACCGTACAATATTTGTATTTAGATAACATCAAGTATCAATTAACACCTGATTCAATTCCAGCAGCAATTACACATTTATATTTACTTAATGGCTTTAATCAATCACTTAATATTATACCACCCACCGTACAAACGTTGTATTTAGGTAACATCAAGTATCAATTAATACCTGGTTCTATTCCAAATCATTTAGCTACTCTTATATTTGATTATGGTTTTCTCAACGTTTTACACAAGGTATTATCCCTGGCTCTATAACTTCAATTCATATGGGCGATGTGGTCTATCCTTTAGAACATGACTCCATTTCAAACCCTAATCAGAAAATTTCTTATTTAACCCATTACAAACATCTAAAAATAAAATAATATTAATAAGAAAAAATAATTAATCATTTTATATTCAACAATTAAATAAAAAAGAATTTATAAAAATCAATATAGTATTTTCGATATTGTTTATGATTGGTCAAATTTTTTTTTGAAAGATTATTCATTTTATAGTGTTTTAAAAAATATTTTTTTATTTTTTAATTTTTAATTGTAAATTTCAATATTTTGTTAAACTACCTCTATTTAATATTTAAGTACATTGATTTTTTGTTAAATTTTTAAAAAATTTCAAAACTATTACAATGTTTTCAATATTGTCGAGGAAAATAATATTTTTTATAATTTCATTTATATTTTTTTATATTAAAATTAGTTCATAAATTCTATATATTAATCTATAATAAATAGTTAAAAAGAGAAAACACCAATTGATTTGCTTTTAATTAATCTACTATTTATATTTATTGTATTGTATTGTACTTACCTATCACCAATATTACTGTTTTTTAACTCTTCATTTAATTTAAGGTTAATTAGATATGATTGTAGCTCATCCATTGTTTATAAAAATATATTAAAAAAAAAAAATAATTATAAAAAATTTTTAAAATTTAGGAATTTTTCAGATTTCCAAACTAAAAAATCTATTCTATTACCAAGGAACAAATCAGTAATGATGGAACATTTCTCAATGGCAGTTGCGTTTGGAAATTTTAAATTATCTAATTTTAAGGGCTAATCAGAATCATTTTTATCAAACTAGTGATCGCTTTCCAACCTTTCTTTTTATGATAGTATTTATTAGTTTTAAAAACTAACATCCAATTACATTTTGGTTTGTAAGTTGTAGTTGCTTGTGCCAATTTTATATCAAATAAATATGATACATATCCAAAACCATAATTTTAACCAAGTATAAATTTATTATTATTATTTATTAAAACAAACTTTATTACTATTTTAAATTTAAAAAATTATACAAATCATGAATTACCATTAATTAATAATTTACTTTAAAAAATTTAATTTTTTTTTAATTTTTTTTTTAAAAATATCTGAAAATAAAAATTAATTTAAAAAAAGTGAAGTATTTTTTTTTTATATTTTTATTTAATTTTTAATTTTTTATTTTTTAATATAAAAATTTAAAAAAATGATTATAAACCAACTTTCAAACAAAATATTAAAAGAAAAAAGAATTATAGGATTATATGAAGCAATTTACAATCATGGTCCAAATTGTATGTGCCATGCAAAGTTAACAAATAGAACCAACCCATTTATAAGTAACAGTAGCAATAATAATAATAATAATAATAATAGTATGGGAGTGTGTCCATCACAAAATCAGTCATATTCAAGCACAAGAAAACTATCAATTTCAGAACAAATAGAAAAAGATAGATCAAGGGTAATGGATAGCAACTATTTTAATGAAGATGGTACCTTAAAAACAACAAATGATGCAGACTATGCATTTGAAATGGCTATTTCAAATATTAGATTTGGAAGTGGTTGTACCTATGAGGTTGGTTATGATCTCTATGACTTGGGTTGCAAAAATGTAGTTATTTTTACTGATGGTAATTTAGTAAATTTAAAAGACTCACCAGTGCAAAAAGTAGTAGACTCCATCAACAAGTGTAGCTTAGGTTCAATCAAATATACAGTCTATGACAGGGTTTCCATCGAGCCAACTGGTGATTCTTTTAAGGATGCAATTGCATTTATGGATCAATTTAAAAATAATGGTACTCCATTTGATGGCGTTGTTGCTGTTGGTGGAGGTAGTGTTATTGATACCGCTAAAGCTGCCAATCTTTATTGTACATATCCACCTGAAAACTTTTTGGACTATGTTAACCCACCAATTGGAAAAGGTATCCCAGTCCCAGGCCCATTAAAACCGCTAATTGCCATCCCAACAACATGTGGTACAGGTTCTGAAACAACTGGTGTTGCTGTTTTTGATTTAAAAATGGATGGGGGTGTTTCTTCTAAAACTGGTATTGCTCACAGACGTTTAAAACCAACATTAGGTCTTGTAGATCCCGACAATTTAAAAACAATTCCACCAAACGTTGCAATTTCTAGTGGATTCGATCAGTTGTGCCATGCTTTAGAGTCATTTACAGCCATCCCATTCAATCAAAGAGTACGTGCAGCCACTCCACTCTTAAGACCAGCATACCAAGGAAGTAACCCAATTAGTGATGTTTTCTCCCTCAACAGTTTAGAAACCTTTATTAAAAATCTTCCAATTTTTATTAACGATCCAAACAATCAACGTGCAAGAAATAATGTAATGTTAGCAGCCTCACTTGCTGGAATTGGTTTTGGTAATGGTGGTGTAACCATACCACATGCACTTTCATACTCTATTAGTTCTATGGTCAAAAACTACAAACCAGAAGGATACCACAATTTAAAAAAGAACCTTATTCCACATGGCCAATCAGTTATCATTGGAGCACCAGCAGCATTCAGATTTTTGGCACCATATAACCCAGAACGTCACTTAATTCTAGCTAAAATAATGGGTGCAAATATTAATGTAGATAGAGCAGAGGAAAGAGCTGGTGAATTACTATCAGCAGAAATTATAAAACTAATGAAGAAATTCAATGTTCCAAATGGTCTACAAGCACTTGGATACACCGAAGCTGATATCCCCAAATTAGTTGAAGGCACCTTACCACAACATCGTGTTCTTAAACTAGCCTCTAAGCAACCTTTACGTGAAGATCTTGAAAAACTATTTAAAGAATCTATGTCAATATATTAAAACCAATATAAAACAAAGAATTTAAATACAACAAATAAACTATGGTTATAGTTTTCTTTTTTTTTTTAATATTTTTTTTTATTTATTTATTTTTTATATTTATTATTTTTTATAAAAATATAATATTTTTAATTAATAACCCTAAGTTATTAATTTTAATTTTTATATATATAATATAAAATATTTATATTATTTATGAATCGAGATTATTATTATTATTTTTAATATAATTTTATATGATATTTAACCTATTGAGTAATTATATAGTTTTTTCAGTTTGATAGTTTTGTGGGGATTCATCTTGAATTTGGCCCTGTTCTACTTGTTTTTTGAGTTTCTTGTTTTTCTTTCTATCTCTAATTAAATAATAAACACAAATAACAATTAAAACAATCATTTGGATACCTGTTGCTAAATATGGAACCCATGTTGACCAATTTTGTTTTGAATCAATTTGGAAATACATAACTAAAAATGCACCTGGTGCTTGAATGCAAACTGATACTAAACTTAAACTACCGATTTCCTTTAGTATGAAAAAAAAAAAAATTAATACCACTTTTGAAAATATTTTATATTAAAAAATAAAACTTACATTTGCAATAATGGTAGTGTAGATTTGTGGGATCCATTGAAGGAAAACTAAAACCATGGCAAAAATACCACAGGAGAAAGCATAGATTTGTAAAGCCTTTGACTCGGGACCAACACCATATACAATACCGACACCAACTGAAAACATTATAATTGATAATACAATACTACCCCAAAATAATGGTTGTGAGTACCAATCCATTTTGATAATAAAAGCATCGACTTTGTTTTTTGGTTTCATTTGTTGTTTCTCTTGTTGATCTTTTTCATAGTTATTTTCAATATTTGAATCATTGACAATGCTACCTCCACCCTCAACAATTTGAACTGAACTACCACTTCCACTGCTACTGCTACTGCCACTTCCACTTGCAATATTATTTTGGTCGACTGGTGAATCTTCTGAATTTAAACTAATGCTTATATTGCTATTTTCATCACTGCTATTTTTAATACTATCTGCACCATTATTATTTATTGGTTTTTCAGATTGTGATAATGTTGATGAATTTTGTTCATGATATTTAATTGGTGGGTTTTCTTGTATTATTTTAGAATTTTCATTAATTTGTTCCCTGGTTAATCTTGGTCTATATATAACGTATAATATAAAGCTATGAAAATAATACAAAAAACAAATTAATCTCTGATACTATAATTGTTAAACTACTAGTAAAACCTACATGACAAATGAACATAAAAATGGTGGAGCTAATTGGATTACTGCTAAAAAATTTCTAAAACAATTCCATGAGTTCTGTATACAATGAAATATAGACAATCGACATGTTAGTATTTCTATTATAAACTAATTCTTGTAAACTAGATTCTTACCATTGAAGCGCAACACTCGAAAACGAACCAATTTAAAAATAATACATTTACAAAAGTACCCATACAATTTGCATAATTTAACCAACACATAATAACTGATAACCCATCTACATTTTTTCTATATATCATAACGATAATCTAGTTTATAAACTATTAGTTTTTTTTTTTTTTTTTTTGGATCAATTATTTTTTTAAAATTTTTTGATTTTTTTTTTTTCCATCAAATAAAATAAAAAAAAATTGTGTATTAAATTATAATATACATACCTGGGGCAAAAAGGAAATAACAATACCAACAGTTAATAAAAGACCTAGTACTACATCTGATGTTTCAAACTCTGTTTTACAAACAAAGTTATTGTCTGTAGCGCCCATTCTATTTGAGAATGTAAAAACCTATAATATTATATTTTTATAAATTTATATGTGTATACTATTTATTTGTTTGTGTGGCAATATTAACAATAATTATTAATAGCTTTTGTTATAATTTTAAAAAAAAAAAAATTTTTAAAAAAAATATAAAAAAAAAATATAAAAAAAATAATAATATAATTTTTGATATAGAAGTGTGGGTTTTTTTTTTTAAAATTTAACAGTAGTTTAAATTTAAATTTTGGTGCAATAGTGTGTTATAAAAAAAATAAGATTTAAAAAAAATAATATTAATATAAATTTGTAAATAATTTTTTTATATAATTATAGAATTACTTTTATAAATAATTTTTAAAAAATAAAAAAAAAAAAAATTTCTCATTGAATGAAAAAATTTTAAAAAAAATTATAAAAAAATAAAATAAAAATAAAATAAACCTTTAGAAAAAATATCTTTTTTTTTTTTTATTTTAAAATAAAATAAAAATCAACAAAAAAAATAAAATAAAATAAAAAAATATAAATTGGTTATGTTATTTTAAAATAGTTTTAAAATATTTTTCTTTATTCGTAATTTTTTAATACCCAAAAAAAAATTTTAAAAAATTATTGTGTGAATATAAAAAAATAAATAAATATTGTAAAGAATATTTTAAAAAATAGAATTTTATTTTTTAAATCAGTTTTTTTTTTTTATAATTAAAAAGTTTTGATAAATTAATTATCAAATTTATTTAAAATTTTTTTTTTTTTTTTTTTTTTTTTTTTTTTTTTTTTTTAAATTTACATTATTTACATTATTTACATTCTGTTATACAGATTATATTATTGTTTTAGCTTAATATTTTTATCGTTTTTAAAACTACTATTATTAATTATGCTATTATTATTATTATTATTATTATTATTATTATTATTATTGTTATAATCGTTATTTGAAGTTGGAGCTGAAGGAATATTTTCACCAAATAGTTCTTTACATAATTCGTAAACGGCAAATGAAATTGCAACCGTTGGTACAACTTTAAAATAAGCTGGAATAATACCATGATAAAAAGCCTTGGCTCCTTCCATAGTATAGATTTTTTTAGCAGCATCAAAACCATTCTTATAAAGAGTTTTATTTCCACCAATACCTTGAATCATCATTCTTCTTCTTAAAACATCAAGTGGATAACATACTGTCATTGTTACAGCACCACTTAATGCTCCACAGAAAAAATCGCAAACCATATTTACACCCTTCTTGGCATCGTCGATTAGGCTTTGATTTTTATCATTGGATGAACATTGACTACTTTCTTTGTCATTAGTTATAGTTGTTAATTTTATATTTTCTGGGTTAATATAATCATCTTTAATTTGATTATTTATCATTGGTAAAATTGTTTTTCTTGAAATAATTTTAAAACCTTCATAGGTTGCAAAACTTATTGAAACCCATGGTACTATACTCTATTTATAATAAAAATAAAATTAATACTTTTTTGTTTTTAATATTACTATAACTACCAATACTACCTACCAATATCGAGGTACCTAAACCTTTGTATAAACCTTTTAAACCCTCTTCCTTTGAAATTTTATAAAAACCATGGGTTATACCATTGTATCTATGAACAGCATAGTCTCCTTGTGATGAACCTTGAAGAGATAGTCTAATTCTTACAACATCAAGAGGGTATGTAAAGAATGTTGAAGTTAAACCAGCCATTGCACCCGAAAACATTGTTTGGGGAACTGTCATCTTTTCACTATCTGCCTTTAAAAACTTTTTCTTACAAAATTCGTAAGTTAAAAAACGAATACCAGAGTTTGGAGAGACTTTAACAATATTTGCCCCATTTCCTTTAAAGAGAGATTTGAATCCCTCTCTTTTAACCATTTCCTTTAAAGCACCCATACATCCTACATAATTTTTTGTTAAATTTTGTGACATACCCTGAACTTGTTGAATAATTGTTAATCTTTCAAAGCCAGCAGTAGCACTTCTGGAAATGGCACCTGCGATAGAACCTGATACCAAATACTATAGTAATATTAGTATTTTTTATGACAAACTAATGTTAGTAAATTAATACTTACATTTACATTCTTTTTTGCCTCTTTTGATATCTTATTTTCCTCTACACATTGTTCTTTTTCTTCATTCAAAAATAAATCATTTTTTTTATCCTTATAATGATTGTGGTTAAGAACCATATCATATTTTTGCTGTTTATTTATTTTACTATTATTATTATTATTATTATTATTTAATGTATTTGTTACATTATTAAATTGTTGTAATAAATACGAAATATTACTGCTATATATTGATTCATTTTTTAAATTATTAGAATTGTTATTAAAATCTTCTTTATCATTATCGAGTATTTCTGTAAATGGGTGACTATTGTTCGATGTAGAAGGAGTGGCTATTATAGAATGAGATTGGTATGGTTCTATACTACTTTTACTTTCTTGGTGTTGTTCGTTTGGATTGAATGCTGTTTGATTATTTTTTTTAAAAAAGTTCTTTCTATCAGAACTGTTCATTTATAATCTATTTGTTTTTTTTTTCTATAGCAAATTTATTATAGTTTCTTTTTTTTGAAAAAAAAAAAATAATAAATTAAAAAAACAATTAAAAAAAATGTGTTGTGATTTTTTTCTTTTTAAAATGAAAACTTTTGTGGGCGGAGTGTTCTTGAAAATATATATAAATATATATAATTGATTCTATTTCTTTTAAAATTAAATCTAAAAAAAATTAAAATACATTAGTATTTAAAATAATGGGAAATAAAAAAAATAAAAATAAAAAAAAAATAAAAAAAAATAAAAAAAATTAAATTAAATTAAATGTTAAAAAAATTAAAAATAAAATTAAATAAATAAAA